AATTGAAGTTTGAAGCACACATCAACGAATTGAAGCACAACGGAATAATGAGAATTATTTCGAAGGAACTTGGTACTGCCACGGCTATGAACGCATATTATGCATTAATTGAATCTCAACTGATATATGACATTCCTTTCTGGGGGGTATGTAACTCTAGTCTGCTAGATTCAGCACTTAAACTGCAAAAGAGAGCCATTAGATATGTGTTCAAACTAGGACCGCGTAATTCATGTAGGCAGTTATTTGCAAAAAAAAAAAATATATTGACAGTTGTGCCTCTCTTTGTAACGGAAACTGCGTGTCTTATACACAAACATAGGTCAAAATTTGAATATATTTCGTCGTGTCATAGCACTCGCCTGAAATCTAAAAATATTTTAAATTACCATTGCCTTCTTCATCCCTAGTAAATGACTCCATTTTCTATAACGGTGTTAAGATGCATAATCATTAACCGTCTCATTTTATAAATAGTCACGATAATATCGACAGCTTTAGAAAATAAACAAAAAAACTTCTCGCGAGCAGACCCTATTATAGTTTGCAAGCATTTTACAATGACAACTTCCAGTGAAATTGTGAACTGTCATCTGTAATTTATTGCGGGTACTGTATAGCATACTCGATTAGACTGTTAAATTATAAGTCGTAAAATTGACAAAATGTTCAAATTACATTTTATGATTGATATTTTATTTATTCGTTGACACTTATTCTATTGAATAAAATGTATAATTGATAAATGTATATGTTTATATACTGCTTGTTTATATAACAATTTTATTTTTGTTCTATTTTATTTATATTTTACATAATTGTGTGTATTTTGCCTGAATTTTATTTCTATATGTATATATTCTACTTTGTTAAAAAAACAAGAGTTTTTTCGACAAAAAGTATATTTGGATTGATTGATTGAACGTCTAAATTGGAAATGAATTGCCAAAAACGAGTCACCTCAGTAGGAAGACTTAACATATTGTCTCTGGTCTGGATTCCTGGCCATACTGACCTGGAAGGCTGCTGACTTACTTGCAAAGGAGGGTGCTGCAAGCAGCTCCATTGGACCATAACCTGCCATCAGCATCGCTTTAAGCTTTGCCAAACAAAAACTGAACACCTGGATGACAAGTAGATTCATAGACTTCTGGCAGAATCTTCCAGGATTGGCTCACTCCAAGGCGTTTATTCATCCTCCGAAGTTTGTTGGACTACAGTAGGGATAAACTACGATGTCTAACAGGCCTTCTTACAGGTCACTGTTATTTGCATTATCATATGCAGAGACTCGAACTGTCGGAAGACAGTGTGTATCGCATCTGTTTGGAAAATGATAAAACAGGCACATACTTTGGTTTTTAGAGTTCGGCAGAGCCGTACTCTTACTATTTGACCGGAAAAACCACTCACCATACAAACTAATCGGCTTCGTTAAGAAGCTGGGTTTATTTGGTCGAGTGTGAATAGTTGTGAGCCACAATAAACCCTTGCGGGTTGCGGTGGAGAGTCGAATATATCCACTCACTTTGGACCTAACCTAACCTAGTTCTGATAAACATCCCCAAAACATCCCCAGTAATGGTATGTTTGTTGTTGCTGATTTCATATGTGAAATTAATATTTTTACATATATTGTTAAGAGATGAACCAACCGGATTCTAGCACCTGGAAAGGAATTGAACTCTTTATTTGCTTCCAAATCAAATTTGCTCATAAACAGAAGAAACAGTTGTTGAACTGAAAGCAATTATGTTCTAAGCAGTCAGTTGAATGTTCTTCTCTACTGAGATCAATGATCGGGGAGACTAGTATCTCTCCATATACATAACTTCATATACTTACGTAATAAACAGATACGGTTCTGTTCAGTATACTTAAAGCGATTGAATGTTTGTATAAAATTCATTATTACGTAATAAGCGCACTTTTGTAATTGAAGGACAGTCATATTGATATTGATCTATTGGTAACAGAATATATCCCCACCTCATCAAACGAACTTCATGTTGTGAAGAGAAAATAGTTTCAACGTCAAGAAAATTGGAAATCAGGAAATTTCAGAATCTAATTTCAAATAGGTAGCAGAGCGAGCTTCCTGATGAAAGATGTAATCGATGACTACAACAGAAATTTTGCAATATTCAATTATAAGGATGAGAAATTCTAAATTGTAACTTGATGCCTGAACTTTTACTCCATAACCATACCAATATGGTATGAGAATAAGTCTGACAATATGTCTCAGTTGCTTATAAAAACTCTATCAACAAATTTTTTTTTCTTCAATGAATAAAGAAACTTATCACAGTGGTCTTCAGTGTAGCTTAATGTAGCAGATATTTGAAGCGAACCCGCTAAGATATGTCGGGAAAGAAATTATTCAAAGATGCAATTATTGTCTGAAGATAAGAGAGAGGAAGAAAATTTCCACGATGGGAAATAAGCCAAAAGCCACTTATTGTGAAAATTTTAAATTGTGTACTCTATTTCATTTCAAAAAACAAGCACTTCAGCCAGTAATCACAATTGCAATATTCTTCTCGACGTAGGTTTTTCCAACTAAGGGAGTTATAAAACCGTTTTTTGAATTTGTTCTACGCCAGAAGTTTTAGTTTTAATTAACCATTCAGTTGTACCATCTGACTCTTTTGAGAAGAAATGGTTTTATCACTAGAAACTGATAGCTTTTTCGGAAAAAAAAACAGTTTTTTGTTTTACTGGTATACAAACTACGAGCTCTGTTCAACAAATGAAGTAAATGTTCAAATTTTGCGGACTACGCAAATTCGATTGGCGATTTTTTTTATTTTTTCATGTTGGTTCACTCATTTCGAACAAATGTTCACAGTTTCAGCTGTTAGCACGTTTTATTTGTTGGTGCGAGGCATAAAAGTTAGGAATTTTGCATATTCGATGATTTTCTGCTGAAGAAAAATATGGATCAGAGAGTTTTTATGAATTTTTGTGTGAAAAATAGAATTGAGTGCTCAAAAACACGTGAAATATTTTGCCAGGGGCATAGGATGATTTAATTTTTTTTTTCCTTGGGAGCTGTCTGACTTGTCCATTTAGTCCAAGTCTCCAGAAAACACTGCAGCCTCTTGGACTTATTGCGTTTATTCTCCCATCTTCTCATGACACCCATTCCATCAGTCTCGTTCCCTGTACTAGTTTGTACAGGTTCCGTGTTGGATGTTCGTCATATTCTTCTGGACGTAATTTCGTACATAGCCTGCCTCCTGTGATTCTGTGCCCCACATTCGAATAAGATGTGCGAGCTGTTCCTATCCCTTCGTTGCATCATCTGCAGCTGAGGTCTCCGTTGTACACCCCATTTTATTCAGGTGTCCTCTAAGCTGACAATGATCGGTTAGTAACCCTGTAATTATTCTGAGCCGATCCCTATTATATTGAAGTAGTTCTTCAGTTCTTTTCTCGGACGGTTCCCTAATGAAGGTTCTACTGTGTTTGTTGCCAGGTACTTTTGTCCAGTACTCTGTGTGCTTGTTATTGGTCCATGTCATGATCTGGTTTCATACCAATGATTTTGGTACCCCCAGAGCTGGTTCAGGACCTATATATGAAATTGATGATCCGCGTCTGGTGCATTCATCAGCTTCATCATTACCTGTGATTCTTGAATGCCCTGGCACCCAGTACAAAATTAATTTGTTCCTATTTGCAAGTTCATTCAGTTCTTCATGGCATTCCCAGACCAGTTTTGATGTCACCTTCGGGTTTGTCAGAGCCCCTAGTGCGCTCTTGCTGTCTGTAAAAATATTGATCCGCTCATTTCTTTGAGGTCTCAATTTAATAAGCCTTGCAAACTGCAAGATAGCATACAGATAGGATGATTGTACTCTGAGACAGAAGCATGTTAACAAGTGGTACAAGTTTTTCACGGAAGGTCAAAAAAATGTGAATGACACAGATGGCCCTGGACGCTTCAGCACATCACCAACGATGAAAATGTTAAGAAAGTGAAAAAAATTGTTATGTAAAATCATAGAATCACTATTATATAAGTTGCTGGGAATGTAAACATATCACTTGGCTCATGTCAGACAATTTTTCGGACATTTTTGGGCATGAAGCGTGTGGCAGCTTAGTTCGCTCAACGACAATATGCTTGATAGAGTCATAACTGGTGACAAATCATGAGTTTATGAATATGATATCGAGAGCAAAGTTCAATCGTCCTACTGGAAAAGACCAGGAGAGCCAGACCAAAAAAGCACGCCAAGTCCGATCAAATGTGAAGATTTTGTCACTGTTTCCTTCGATTATTGTGGCGTAGTTTATCGGGAGTTCTTGCCACATGGTGGTACTGTAAATTGGCCGTATATTTTTGAAGTTATGCACCACTTGCGAGAATCAATACAAAAAAAACATCCTCTGTTGGGGAAAAACCATTCATGGCTTTGGCTTTACGATATTGCACCCGTTCGCTCGTCATTACTTGGCCGTAATCTTGTCTCCTTCACCGTATTCACCTGATTTGGCTCCCTGCGACTTTCTCTTGTCCCCAAGATTGGAGCAACCTATGGAAAGACTGCGTTCTGCGACGATTGAGGAGATAAGTACCAAACGCTGAGAGAGCTCAAGGACATACCAAAAAGTGCATATCAGAACTGATTCGAAAATTGGAAAAAAAGAGGAAAAACTTTGAAAGGGACACAATAGAAATTGATGAATAAATATATATTTTTTGAGACAAATGGAAATTCATTTTATTTTTTCAATAGACCTCGTATATATAAACTTGGTTAGATTCAGATGCCAAAAATTATCGAATGTTTTTAATATTTTCAGAAACTAACATGAAGAAAACGATTTTCTATAATCATTCTGTTGGGAACTGATTTGCGAATGATATATCATTCATGATGCAACAATTACATCAGTTTTTTTGTTAATAATTGAATTCAAAAAACTTTTTAGAAACTGTCATCCTGAATTTTCAATAAAGAGAACAGGTTGGGTGATTTCGCACTTACCTTCAGATTGGTCATTTGTCTTGCCAATTTCAAGATTTCTTTGGTTCCATTCACATTTATCATATAGGCAAGCTTCAAACATTCATTAAATCTCACGTTTGCTGCTATATGAAATACTATATCGATTTTCGACATCAAAGTCTGTTTGTCTTGCATGCACAGTCCCAAATCAGGCATCGTGCAATCTCCTGAGATAACGTCTATCCTATGTTTGTATTTTGGACATTCCTTTTTAAGGACATTGAAAATCTGGAAGAGAGTAATAATGAACATGCTTTGCAGAAAAAGAAATCCAATCAATTCATAGTATGTCTAGTCATGTGGGCGTAAGGAATCGGCTGATGATTCTGGTAAGTGTCGCAAACATCGTTTTTCAACTGATACACCATTTCCTAAGTTATATTATGAAAATATTTCAACTCCAAAATGGTTTCGATTTCAAGTGTTTTGAGATGTTAGTGGTCGATATTAATTATAAGCAATTTTAAAATGAAAACTTCAATTATTTGGCTTTCGAACAGTGGCTACCAAGTAGTGTCAAAACTAGAAGAAGAGGAAGCGTGGTCTTTTATTATTCGTTGAGAAAGTTGGAACCCAGATGGAGTCATTTCCACCAGAATTTAGTCGCTATCTCTGCTCTGCTCTGTTTTTTGATACTTTCATCCATATTTTGTTTTGGGAAACCTCTGAGGAAGCTAGCCAGTAAAACGTTAGAAAGGAATTTTAAATATTCATAGCCTTCAAACCCGAGAAATAGTGACACTGAAAAATTCGACAGAAAAAGCCACAACCATTGTGACCTTATGGAATCATAAATTGAAATAACACACTGATGTTGAAACCAGCAAAAGTTTTCACCAATTACCTATTGAAATGAGTGAAAAAATTTATGTGAAACGGTTTTGTTGAAAATGAAAGATGATAATACTGTAGATGATGTACTAAAAACTAAAAAATAATTCGGAGGGTCTTAGGTAGCATTCATCAAACCACTCTCCTCAGCAATCTACGTTATTTTTTTTTCAATTATACCGCATCAACCAGCTAGGTTATTAGCGGTAGAACAATAAGGTGTTTTATATTCTATATCATGTTACAAATTTTGATACATTTCAAAAAACACAACAGTGAGTCTATATTTTTGATATCTAGGGTACTGGAGTATTCATTTCCTAAGCCGGATATACGTATTTCGTTTTGGTAGCTGGGACATTCCATGATAATGTGCTTAAAACACTTAGATCAACGTTGCAGTTGAGGCATCGGTTGGGTGTTTTTTTCTTGATTAGATGTAGGTGAGTACACCGGGTGTGGCCAAAGCGTAGCCGGGTGAGAATGACTTGCTGTCTACGACTGAGAGGGCGGTAGTTGTTAATAACTAGGTTTGGATTGATATCTCTAAGTTTATTGGGGGTTAAGAAGCTCCACCATTTCCGTATCCATCGTTTGAATATAAGTTTTTTTTATGTCGTTATATAGATCTTCGTGTGGAACCTGGAAGTTTTGATATGTTCCTGGATATGTAGTGGAAGTTTTAGCATCTACGTCAGCGATTTCGTTGCCTTTAATGCATGTGTGAGATGATACCCAGACTATTTCCACTCTTTTTCTGTTGTTGGTTAGTTCTACAAGTTCTCTTTTGATTCGAAGAAGAATGGCAATTTTGGGGTAAAGTTGAAGTCCTTGTATTGAACTAAGCGAGTACGTGAATATCACGGAGTTGCCTTCGGTTCTATTGTAGTGTACTAGATCAGTTTTAATGGCGTGAAGTTCAGCTGTGTAGATACTGGAATCAGGTGGTAGAAATTGATCAGACAAACAATTTTTCAATTTCTACTATACATCTACATCATTATCAACTTTTTTTCAAAAAAACCGTTCTACATGAAATTTTCAAGTTTTGATTTCTGTAGTCCGTACTCTATACTCCGAAATTTCGTAGCTGCAGACATCTTGAATTTTCATCTTTTTCAAAGTGTACTACTATTTTATTGGTCGAGCCATGTCATTTGTTACCCATATTGGGGTGGTTGTGAAAAATAAAGTAAGTAAACCGGCATTTTTTAGCTGCGGCCATCTTAAATTTCCATCTAATCAGCTAGTCAAATCCTGTCAGTTGATGCCCATATTGTGGTAGTTGTGAAAAAATATGTAATTTGGCAATTTTCACCTGCAGGCATCTTGAAATTGCATCTTTTTCAAAGTATACTACTATTCTACTAGTTAAGCTCTGTAATTTGATACCCATATTGAAGTAGTTGAAACTACATGTGATCCGCCATTTTGTAGCTGCGCCAACTTGGATTTACAATGATACAAAATTTATTGAATTGTTTTGTCATCAAAACTTAATGTGTGTACGAAATTTCAGATCAGTAAATGAACAAAGAAACAGGGCAAGCTAAATGAAACCGTTAAAAATGACTTGTTTAGAGAAAGTGATTTAGACACGATGAAATAAAAACATCAACAGTTTGTTGACAAATCGTTATTTTTAACAGTTTTAATCTTCCTCTTTGAAGATGATCACTTGATGATCGAAACACGTGTCGATGTGTTAAAAATAACGATTTGGTGTTGGGAAAAAAAAATCCAGTAATATTCGTTACAACACCAAAGGTTCCAAATAGTGCATCATAAGTTTGTTGACAGTTATTCAATTAATGCCCTTTATGCTACGGTGAAAAGTTACAAATTTTCGCTTCTGGAAATAGTTCCGCTACAACTGGTAGCGAGATTGGCTGGAAATAGTATGAATGAAATTATTGAAGTAATTTCTAGAATTGAGAAAGAAGTTTTTTCTATAAAAATGAATGACAGTAAATAAATAAATAAATTATTTACTTGTTTATTTATTTATTTATTTTTCAAACCGACATACAAGGCTTTATAGTATGAATGAAAAAATTCCAATATGAATTCACTAATTTGTATGGCTTACAGACTAATATCCACTACATGCTTAATTGAAGTTTCTAAGGTACTGTGTAACGAATTCTTTGAAAGCACTCAATGAAACTTTTGAATCTATATCCATCAATAAGTTGAACACTCTTCTCCAAGGGAGAAGGCTGTTCAATTCACACTTTCAGTGTATAATTGACACAATAACTTTCTATTTCAGTAAACAGAGGCCAGAAACGTTGCAATTGCTTTCGCTGTTTCATTGTCTTCATTTTTTCCTTTCATATTCATAGTTCCCAATAATACCATTATTGATTTTTCTATTATTCACCCAATTCCAAAAACTATTATTCAATTTGTAATGAATAGCCTCTTCCCTAATCTCCTTAGTGTTTAAATCTTCTTTCTCAAACTGTTGACCTATACTGCATATAATCAGATACACAACTCAATATCCTAAACCTTCTTTAATTTCATTTTCAAACCGAGCCTTATCTTTCTTTGAGTTTTTATAGACATTGTACTTTGGTAAATATTCATTGATGGTCTTGTTTCATTTTCGATTGCCACATTAACATTTTTTTCTGTTGTCACATTGGACCAGTCGGTATCCCTCACCATTTCGCAAAGTCTATAAAATTCAGTGTTTTTGTAGTTATATTTGAATTCCTTCAGGTTTTTCTCGTGTTCATGTTTACAAGTATTTATATTGATTGTAATATCTAATGCAGGATGATAAGTATCCTCCATAACAAATAGTATATTGTCCCTTTTTACGTATCAAGAAGTCTAGTTACTTTCAGAACTGATGACCAAATCCAGCGTTCTTTGCTGACAGTTTAGTAGACCATTATATTACTGAAATCCAGTGAAATCAACCCAATCTTCAAAACATCTCAAGTTATAATTATTATTGTCATTATTACAAAGACGAATATGATTCATTCCGGTGATTATGATAAAAAATAAATGGAAATGATGTATTTACTGGTGATATAATGCTTTCGACAACTTACCACGTCATCAAACATTTTATCAACTCTTTCGTCAACAGTTCTTCCTTTTTTTTCTCTAACGAGAAGATATATTGTCGATACTTCGGTTGATCTCAATAACTTTTCTATCAGAACTTTCCCTATGAATCCTGTACCGCCTGTGATAAAGACATTTCGTGATTTGTAAAAACTTTGTATCTGAGAATCTTCCATTTTTCAGAGAATTGTTGATCTGAAATTCAATCAGGTTTATTATGAAAACGTATGATTCATGTATGATCCTCTCTTTTACAATAAATGAAATATGAAATGAGTGTTTTTGAATAAAATACATATAAACTGCTTGTATTTATTGGTGTGAATAGATAGAGAGAGAAAGAAAGAGTACCGATGTGATTATTATCCAAGATACAGGACGTTATTGACGAACACCGGTAAAAAGGGAACATATGAATAACTACATCCAGATAAATATACTATTACATAATTACGTGGAAATAGTTCATATAAATAATCACATCTAGGTAAAAGTACACATATATAGTGCTAGTCAAAAGTCCCCTCCCCCCCTCGTATCTTTTGAACGGGTATACTTATAATAATGAAATTTGGAGTGTGGAAATAAACGGATGTAGGCTTCTTAACTGGTCATAACAGGTGACGCAATAGTCATAAATGACGTCACAAGGCCACTGTGATCAAAAATTTTAAATGGGACCCTATGGCAAGTGACAGCTCGTTTGAAAGGTATTGAAAATGCCTATTCAGTCATACCAATTTTGTTTGGGTTTCGGCTGATTTTGATTGATAAATTGAAGAAATACGAAAATTATAGTTTNAGTGGCCTTGTGACGTCATTTATGACTATTGCGTCACCTGTTATGACCAGTTAAGAAGCCTACATCCGTTTATTTCCACCCTCCGAATTTCATTATTATAAGTATACCCGTTCCAAAGATTCGAGGGGGGGAGGGGACTTTTGACTAGCACTGTATAATTACATATAAGCACCGTCAATTTCATATCGTTTCGTCATTAAAATATTCTGTCAGATTGTAGGCTTTCATGTAACTTTTTCACAAACGTTTCAAGAGAGTCCATGTTCTTTATATCTTCAGGAAGTTCATTATACATTTTGACACCGACGTAAATTATTGTGTCTTTGATCAGTGTGGATTTCGAGATAAATAATGATGAATTCATTGCATTCCGTGCAGTGCGATTGTTATTTTCATAAAGAGATTTATTCTTGTAGATGATACATAAAGCTTCCAAAACGTAGAACGAGGTTAGTGTCGGTAATCTGTGTTTCACCGCACCGCTCGCTTTTTTGCAGCAAAAATACACTCTCGAAGAGTTCATTACCAAACAAACCCCAGAACTGTGGTTTGAGTCAATGAGAGCAAAATAGATGTTATTTGCCGCAGCATAACCTAAACCTGAGGGCAAAACAGCCGGATGATAACGCTTTATTTAGCATATTTATATGATTTGTGAATTCCAAATTGGTATGTTTAGTTCCAAGAATTTTATATTGTTGTCAGATGATGAAAAGTCAGCACCTAATTCTATATCCGGAACAAGACATTCCAATATGAGGAATTCTGTTTTATTGAAATTCAAACATAGAAAATTTGCATTGCACCACGACTTGATTTTTAGTAGGTAGCTTGTAACATTTTTTGAAGCAAGTTCACATCTTCAGAGTGCNGATTAATAGAAGATATAAAGCTTCAAATCCTTTTTGTAGAATTTAATATTGATATGGTGATATCTTTCTGCAGGCACTGTTTTTTCATCATCATGGTTTATTACTCAAGATCCAATCTTATAATTGATTCTAGGCTAGATTCAACAACCTTTGAAGAACGTTCATGATCCCAAATTCACTTTTGAAAACAGATTGAAACATGTCATATTAAAAAAACACTTCATTGTGAGATTTCCACTAAACGGTAAAAATCTCACAATAAAATAATTACGTATCGGTAATTACATATTCCGAAATTCTACACCTTACTAAAATATTTTGGATAATGCGGTGTTGTCACTTCTATTAGAAAGTAGTAGCGACTTTGATTTTCTAGATAGAACACCCTGTATATGATATTATTTTTGAAATCTACAACAATTACTCAACAAATTTTTTTGGTATTTTCCTTTATGAATTAATTTCAATTTTTTCTTCGGAAATCATGACCTCTAAAAATGAGTTGAGGAATACTATGGTACAGCAAAATATGTTTGGAGTTAGGGTGATACTTGGAGGCTTCCCACATTTCAGCGTAAACTCCGTTACTTCAATACAGGGTGGTAAAAAAATATAGTTTTTTGTTAGCTTGAAAAAGTGACTGAAAGTTGATTATTTCAAATAGAACACCGTGTATATTATTACAAATTAGGAGAATATCACAACGGTACTGTCAGATAATAGATAATCATGGCCTCCTTAAGTAATAGGGAATGGAAATACCTGAAGGGAGATTTTTATAAATAAATGCCTTAAAGTCTGGAACTTGACTGGTTGAGTATACGCATGATATACATAGAAAGGAAGAAAATTTTAACTTTTTTATTTGTTATAATACATAGGGTGCTTCATTTGAAATAATCAACTCTCAGTCACGTTTTCAAGCAAACGAAAAAACTGCATTTTTTACCAACTTGTAACGAAATAACGAAGATTATGCTAAAGTGTGGTAAGCCTTTGAGTATGACCTAACTCTAAAACCAAATTTCGATCCATAATATTCCTCAACTCAAAGCTATCAGCCTTTTTAGACGTCATGATTTCCGAAGAAAAAAACTGAAACTATTTCAAATTCAGAAAACGGTATCTGTATCTGTAGGGTAAGCCAACGGCACTCAGGCCACATGTGACCCATTGTACATCCTCCCGAGGAGTTTCACTCCTTGGTCATCGTCCATCTTGTCCTTGGACAGGTCAGAATGCCATCATCGTCACTTCTTCCAGGTTTGGAGACCAGCTCCCCTACCCTTTTGGCTGTGTTCTCCGGGAGTCTCTTCAACAACTTGTTGGTTATTGAATCGGCCCCCGGAGCCTTCTTGGCCTTTGCAGCCTTGATATGACCCTTCAGCTCCTCCATAGAAGCCGGACGGATGTCGTCGTTGTCATCTTCCCTGAGGAGTCGGTGAACCCGGTCTTCCAGCAGCATATCGCGATCGATATCGTCATCGTCGTCAACGTTAAGTTGAAACTGATGTTCCATCGTGTTTGCAAAGGCTAACGCCTTATCGGCGGGGGAGTAGCACACTCCGCGCTCTCCGTGAATGGGTGAGAGAGCAGTCTTCTTCCCCCTGAGCCTACGAGTGACTCGCCAAAGCTCGTCACTCCCAGGTTCGAAGGATTCCAAGAGCTCTTCCCACCTTTCGTTTCGATGCTCAATGATGGCCTGTTTGACTCGGTTGGCCATCCTGTTCGCAGCTGTTTTGTCCCCTGGGAAAAGGGTTCGCTGATAGAGCCTTCTCAGGCGATTTCTCTCTCGTATCAAGGCTTTGATACGAGGGGGAAACTCGTTGTAGCTCTTCAGCGGACACTCCTCCCTGGAGGTGGCCGCTCGAAACGCATCATTCACAGAAAGCTCGAAACGCTCAACTGCCGCGTCGAGTTCGTCGGGAGAGTCGAGTACCTCAGGAGGGGCGTGCATCTCTTCGAACTGGGCTGTGAAGACATCCCAGTCCGTCTTAGATCTCACGCGATACTCAGATCATCGACCAGTACCAGGATTACTGGATTATGATCAGAATCCAGTTCCAACAGAACGTAGATTTCGCTAGTCAGAGAGACGTTTCTGAGAAGCGCAATGTCTAGTACGTCAGGCCTAGTCTGCCCGCGATAGTACGTAGGCTCATCTGGTCCCAGCACAAGATATTCATGTCTGTCAACATGTGCATGGAGCGCTTGGCCGTTTCGATTTGTGGCTCTGCTCCAAGGTCTGTGCTTGGCATTGAAGTCGCCAGCAGCAATTGTCGGGATGTTGCTTCCCATCAGCAGTTCATCCAGAGATTCTGGGAGTAGACGAATGTTCGGAGGGTTGTATACCGAGATTATTCTGTGACAACCCCTTCTCAGTTGAATTTCGACCCCCACGGCCTCAGTACCGTGCAATCGAGCACTGTCAATGCCGTATTGGACACACTGCAGGGATCGCTTGACAAAAATGCCAACTCCCCCTCCAGCACGTCCAACACGTTCTCTGTGAAAGAATCTGTAGTTTGGATTGACAATAGATTCGTTCCTTAGATGTGTCTCTTGGACTAGAGCCACATCTATGTTGTTCTCGGTTAGAAAGTTTTCGAAGTCCAGCTTCTTTGAACGAATGCCATTAGCATTCCAAAAAACTATCTTCAGAGATCTAGGCAACGTTGGTTGTCTAGACATTGGCAGTTCCGGTCATCACGTTAGTATTCACCGTGAACATTGTCTGTAACACGGGGAATTTAACAAATAACTTTTTCATCAGGTCCAGTGCGGCACATATGTCTGAAACCCCCTGAGGCTGAGGTGAGGGTTCAGGTCGAGGGGAGGTGGGCTTTGCAGAAGTACTTGCAGAAGTACTTGCGCCCTTGGATGCAGCTTTTGCAAAGCTGACCCCCTCCTGGACGCGTCCAGACCCCGCAGGTCTCCCTGAGGAGGCTGGTTATTTAGGTGTAGCCTGTCCTTTTCTTTATACCTTAGGGTACGCGGGGCAGCCGCGATAGTTGGCTGTATGTGCCCCCTTGCAGTTATTGCACTTCGGGGGGTCAGTCTTAGCCTTTTTGCAGGCACTGGTTAAGTGCCTGCCAGCGCATTTGACGCAGATGGGCACTGTCAAGCAATTGCGTTGGCAGTGACCAAAGCGCTGACATCGGTGGCATTGATCCACCGAAGTTTTTCCGGGCTGGGGTTCGACCTGAACCTTCACGCTTAAGAGGTCTTTGAACTCAAAAATATGTTTCTGGTCTCTGTCTACCAAGACAAGGACCAGAGGCATAGGTTTGCCAGCGCGCTTCAAGCGCGTGACGCTGGTGAGGTCAAAGCCTTTTGCTTCGAGCTCCTCACGCACATCAGTGACTGCCAAGTGCTCTGGCACTCCCCTGATAACGGCACGTAGTTGCCGCTCTTCGGGGAGCGAATAAGTATGGTGAGGGATTTTTTCCTTCACCAAAAGCCTTGCCAGACGCCGATAGTCGTCAGGAGACTCCGACTGGACTTTGATACCATCATGTAGA